TGGTACTGAAGTCCAAGCTATACTGAAGTCACTGGCAAAAAACAAGACTCCAGGAATAAATGGACTACAAATTGAAATCTTTCAACAAACTGATGCAGCACTGGAGGTGCTCACTTGTCTATGCCAAGACATTTGGAAAACAGATGCATGGCCAATGGATTGCAAGAGATCCATATCTGCACCTAAGATAGGTATCCCAATGGAATACAGAAAACATCGAATCATCATTAATATCACATGCAAGTAAAATTTGGAAGATAATTAAAAGACAGTGGCAACGTACATTGACAGGGAACTGCCAGAAATACAAGTTGGATTCAGAAGAGGGCATAGAATGAGGGATAGTATTTCTGATGTTAGATGGATCTTGGATGAAAGCAGAGAATACCAGAAAGATGTTTACTTGTGCTTTTTGACTATGCAAAGACTTTCGACTGTGTGGATCATGACAAGCAATGGATTCATACTGCAAAGAATGGATATTCCAGCACATTTAATTGTGTTCATGAGGAATCTGTACATAGACCAAGAGGCAGTTGTTTGAACAGAACAAGGGGATACTGAATAATTCAGAATCAGGAAAGGTGTGCGCCAGGGTTGTATTCTTTCACCACACTTTTTCAATCTGTATGCTGAGCAAATCATCTGAGAAACTGAATTATATGAAGAAGAATGTGGCATCAGGATTGGAGGAAGACTCATTAACAACCTGTGTTATGCAAATGATACAACCTTGTTTGCTGAAAGCAAAGAGGATTTAAAATACTTACTGTTGAAGATCAAAGACTATAGCCTCACAACTAGCCAATAAATATCAGGATAAATGGAGAAAAGATTGAAGTTGTCAAAAACTTCATTTTGTTTGAATCCACAATCAACACTCAAGAAACCAGCAGTCAAAAAATCAAACAATGGCTTGTATTAGGCAAATCTGCTCCAAAGATCACTTTAAAAGCAAAGATATCAGTTTGAGGATGAACATGAGCCTGATGTAAACCATGGTATTTTCAATTGCTTCATATATATGTGAAAGTTGGACAATGAATAAGAAGACCAGAGAATAACTGATGCATT